CCAGCCAGCCCACCAGGCCACCAGCCAGCCCCCCACTGCCACTGGCCAAGCGCACACCCCCAGCCAACCACCCACCAGACCCCAGAAGCCTGGGCAGCGGGTAACCCTTAGCAACCAGGAGCCACATTCCAGGAGTCCAAGCAGCACCAGGGAGGATGGAGAGCCAGCCCCGAACCCGGCAACAAGCCCAGAGCCCACCCGCAGCCCAGAACCACACCCAGCGGCCTGCCCTTCTTCAGGACTCCCTCCCCAAAAGGCAGTCGCGGAACGGGAGAGTAGAAAAGACCCTGACACACACACACCCCACCCCCAGATGTACTGTTGGTGCGGGTTGTTCTATAGAGCAACTAAATCATCAGATGTTCTTAGTTTAAAAAGAAGTGTGTATCCCTTCAAGGAATACTTGACCTTTAACTTCTTTGATTTAATCCAGAACTTCTACTTTAAGTACAAAAAACACACTCAGAAAACTCTAAACACGCAAAAAACTGTTCAAATGAATCTTTTGCTGCAAACCATATTCATTAGCGTCTGAAGCTTAGAAGTGGTGGAAGTAATTGCAGTGGTTAAAAGACTTACTGAAGTTGTGAGCAATCTTCTGGTTGAGCATTATAGGCTGTGTGTTATTCTGCTCCGCTGCACCAATCGTACTGGGAACTTTCACAATAAATTGTTCCATCAGACGTAACGTGTCAATTTCAATCTTACTGTTTTTTCCTTGGACCCAAAATGATTTTGGAATCTGTCAAGACATGTTTTGTTTTTAAGTTGTGAGAAAAGTGAACTTTATTTGGAATAAACGTGTTAAGAAGTCAACATAAAGTGTCCGTTACCTTCTCAGGGCCTACGAGGTCCCAGTGGAAAGCCTTTGTGCTGGGTTTGCTCCTTAAACTGTAGACTTTAAAAGGCAGAGGAGGGGGTGCTGGGATGTTCAGGGACAGTGGTTCTTTCACAACCAGAGAGCTTGATTCTTCGGACCCTTGGTTCAAAGGAGGGCCTATGAGGCTGGTGTGGCTGGGTGTGGGCGGAAGCGCTGATGGTGGGGGTGGGATTTCAACAGAAGGAGAGGTTGGTGATCGGACAGGTTTCCTATCATCAGATCGAAGGGCAGAGGGTGATACTGGACGGGCGGTGGGTGTGGGTGGAATGGCTGATGGTGGGGGTGGGATTTCAACAAAAGGAGAGGTTGGTGATTGGACAAGTTTCCTATCATCAGATCGAAGGGCAGAGGGTGATGCTGGACGGGCGGTAGGTGTGGGTGGAATGGCTGACGGTGGGGGTGGGATTTCAACAGAGGAAGAGGTTGGTGATTGTACAGATTTCCTATTATTAAATGCAAGAGCAGAGGGTGAGACTGGACAGGCGGTGGGTGTGGGTGGAAAGGGTGAGGGTGGGATTTTAACAGATGGAGATGTTGGTGAGTGGACAGGGCTGCGGGGTTTAGGAACAGGTTTTGGAACAGCTGAGGGATCATTCTGACTTGTACCACCTGCTGTGGAGGAGTCTTCACAGTTAGATGTGTGATCTGCTGTTTTAGAGTCAGCTGGAGGACCAAAGACACTTTCAACACTAGGGTCACCGTTGGACTCAGGGTCCACACCAGTGTCATCTGGGTCTTCGGGTATGCTGACCAGTCGTCTGGACTGTTTTTCTTCAAACACGGAGTCACACCTGGACTTTCTCTTCCACTCTGAACAGAGTTTGTCGATGGCTTGGACCCAGGCATCTCGCTCCTTCTGCATATWGCCACGACCTTCATTTGATGGAGGRACCTTGAAACTGTAAAAATCAGAAATAGTCAGGACCTTATATTTATGACATTATTACTCAAAGGAAACTGCTACGCAATACAAAATTGGAGTCAGAAGTTTACATACATCAGTCATGGGCATGAATGTCCTATTAAATTAATTTTTGGGGCTTGCCATTTCAAATTCATAGGAGCTGAAAAATGCAATGTGAAGCAATGCATTCATCTGACCTACATTAATTTGAATAGCAGCAACTATTGCTATCAAACTCTAAACAAGTTTCTTAGCTTTATATCTTTCTCTTCTGTCAACTTTAATTTAGCCCAGACTGCAAAGTGTACAMACACAAATGCAGTGATGGGYACTAGWCCCCTAARGTTCAAAYCTGCTAATTRCAGACCTAAATTTCTCTTTTGTACTTCAGGGGATTTCCTAATTTCATAAAATGATGTGCGAATTTGCGTTTTCTAAATTTAGAATTGAGTAGCGCTAATCGCAAATTATGTTCCACATTAAAACATCAATTTCATCTACAGCAAAGCTAAAAAATCATCTAGTCTCACTACTTTGTGTAGCCACATAATTCATTATAATTTTGTCATCATTTTTTTTAAACCGCCCCCTCACAACAGGGAAAACTGGCTATCTAATTGGCTGAGGCTGTTTTCACTGTTACTGGGCAGATTAGCCTCTTGGGTGAGGGAGAAAAAAGGTGTGTTTGTGTAATTCAACATGGCATCCACACTTGATCAAAAGTTGTTGTTGTTTTTGTTTTTTATTTAACAGGACCAACCATTTGTTCTTAAAGCTCACTCATTGGATTGACCAAACACATCTGTCTCCCTCAGATGGAAGGACAGGTTATTGAAGTCCTACTGGACCTGACTCCACTGGATTTACACATCTTAGGGGAGGCTGCATCCAGTGCGGTGAGGTTACACCAGTCTGGTAG